AAAAAAAAAAAAAAAATGATCTTCAAATAGTAATACTCAAAAAGATGTGACAATGAAAGTTGAACAATTCCTTATAAACGTTATAAAAGTGAACGAAATATCGCCAGTTGAACAGAAATGTTACAAAACTCTAGAAACAGGAAACAATTACTTTTTCCACATCACTCTATGTCAAAATAGTGACAAATATCAGGTGAAAATAAAAAAAAAAAAAACATCTTCAATGTTTTTCAGTATATTCCGACCGTTTCAACAGCAACCTCTTCAATAATCAGTTAGATCATCACACTGCATAGGAATCCTACGCGACATTAACTCATTAAAAAAAAAACAACACTAGCAAGCAGCAAGCCAAAGCAATAGTTTACGCACCTTCTCTAGTCGGTGTCAAATCCCCTGGAAAATTGATCTTCTTGGATTTTAGAGAACCCCTGTGCACATCGCTACCTAGCGTGACAACAGCAAATATACACGTGAATATAGATCGAAGACCAAAACGGTAGACATGCAAGGAAGCTCGAGAAAAGCATATATAAAACAGTGAAATAATTCGAATCGAGACCAGTGACGTCACTCACCTACGTAGTTGGGCACGTAAGTCCTCTTATCCAACGAGTTGGTGTTGATGCTGTCGTGCTGTTCGTATTCATTGCCGCCCATACTTCTGGGCAACGTCAGGGCCCCACTACTGCTAGCCCCGTCGTTGTGCGAATGTCTCTTCTCCATCGCTTTCAGCTCCATCTGGTCGTGATGGATCCACAGGTCGGGCGGCTTGATGTTCTGCGAGCTCTTCTGGTAACCCTTTCAAAAAAAATAGAGTACAGTCACGTCTCTCGGCAGTTTCATTTTGAGGTTAAAGTAAAAAAAAACAATGGGGATGAAATCGGGTTATTTCGAAGGATGTTCTCTTAGGAACTAGTACATACAGTAACTATAACTATAGTATGAGAGTAGTTTTCGCTTACCTTTTTATTTCTGTCGGGGGACGTTGTGGCCTCTCTCCGCCTGCAGCAAAAGAACACAACGACGCCAGTTATCGTGAGTACCGCCAGGACGCAGCCTCCAATGATGGTGTAGAGCAGGACCTCAGAGGAAAAAACTCCACCGGTGTCTGAAAAAAAAACCGATCAAAATGAAGAAGCAAGTTCTGTGAAGGGATGGCATGTTAGTTAGGCTTCGACCTTCTACGTAACATCTCAATGAAACATAAAAGTAAAATATAATTACCCGATGGTTGGCCTTGAATGGAAGCATGCGAAGCAACACCTGAGTAATGATAAAAGAAAATAAAAATAAACAAAAGCAAGTATAACGATTCTGCTGATCATCTGGTCGAATCTGTTTTGGATTATTAGACGTTTGATGTCTGTCAATAGTAGCGTAGACCAGGGGTCTCCAAACTTTGAAGCCTTCGGGCCATAATGATTTTTTCAGTTTGTTCCAAGGGCCAAAGATATTGTAT